TTTTGAGTACCACATTTCTTTTATTGTGAAGATATTCAAATTTCAATTCAACGTTCAGATGTTTAAAGTATATTTTAAATTATTGGCTGAGAGTTTAGACGTTTAAAGTATATTTTAAATTATTGGCTGAGAGTACTCAGTCAGTTGACAAGTTGTTTTCTTTATGGCAATCTATCATCAGTTATACCTCCATATTTCAGTAGTTTGGAAGAAACCTGCACATTTGGAATGGCGAACAAAAACAACGAGGCGCTTCTGGTAAAACATAGACCACGCTTAAGCTACTAAAAGTTGTGCATCAATAGTCAATTCTGAAGGCCAAAAAAAAAAGGAAGAGGAAATTGCATTTTCTGTTATAGTCACATCTGTTGGACAAATAAATTATTTTTTTCACGTCACAAGTAAACTGCAGTGACGTTTTTGAATGTTGAAGCAGAAATAGATGTCAAATAAAGCGATTCTGTGGTCACTAAGTATTTGTCTGCATGAATCGTTTAGAAGAGGAAGAAACAGCTTATACATTGGTCTATGGAAACAGTAACCCAATTTGGCGCACAGAACTTCAAGTTTATCAGAATAAGGGTGTTGTGTTTATCCTTTTTTCGTTATTAATCAATTACATATTTTTTATTTTCTTATTTTGAGTACCACATTTCTTTTATTGTGAAGATATTCAAAATTTCAAATGATAATTAAATTTTATCAGAAAAATAACCAAGAGCAAAAAAAATCGACCAATTTTCAACAACTGCAAACTTTTTATATCGTACTGTAAAGTGTCTAAGTTGAATGGAACTCAGCGGATAACTCTGAAACTTTTCACTTTTTACAGTAGTCTTTGTACAGCTGTAAAAAGTTCCTCCAATTATCTAAATTTTAACTGCTCTATTGAAGGATTACTTTATAGGTATTTTCAACACTGATTATTGGTTTTTGTTGAGGTCGACAGAAAATTCTCTTAGCTTTTTTGTTCTGTTAAATCTTGATCATTTAAACGAATATTTAATTTCAGTATATACTTCTGAAATAAATGACTAACCAGTGGCAATAATCGAACAATAGTTTACGAGCATTTTTTTTTGGCAAATCTAATAATGCTTTATCATTTAAATATAAATTTTTAAAAATAAAGATGTAAAATCTATAAATTTTTTCCGGATTAATTTCTTGACACCCAATTGATGAATAGATTAAAGGAAGAAATTTTTCACACTGTTTATGGTTTATTTCCGGCTGACGATCTAGTCTTGGAATATTTGCATTGACAGTAAACTTTACCACAAGGAAGTGGCTTAGGATCTACTATTCAATCCTAAAATATTAAGCTTTAAAATATTGGGTAAAATCGTGTCTTTTGCTTGGCAATCTTATTTTATGCGCAAAAGGAACAAAAATTAGAAAGTCTGCACGAATGTTGGTCAACGCCATTAACGACGTTCATCCTTCTTCCGTATTCGTTGCAGTTATAGACATTTTAGTTACTATTTATTGTTCTTCTTATTCTGAAAATATGAAATACAGGTAAGAATTTAGAATACGCTTGTTGTTTTTGGATTCTTCAATATTTCAAAGCTGACTAAATCTTTTGCCAGGCATTTCTTTTCCTCTATAACTGTTTTCAAGTACTATGAAAGATTCGTTCATGAAATATTTTCATATGTACGAACAACCTTAAAAGCTATAAAAGTTGTATTGAGTTCCAACCACAGTTGAAAGCTTCACAAACATTTTAAATTTGAATTTAAACTGAAGATTTCACTGTACAATTTCGAGACAGCTAAACCAGTGGAAAGTTTTTCACAACTTAGTGACCAATTTCTTAGTCCACTTACTGATTTTATATCGATAATTACTAATTAAAGTTTTGCTTTCTCAGGATCTTTATTGCATTTTAGACAAATTATTTTACAACTCTTGTGACTGTTGATGTTCCTTATCAAACAAAAAATTTTTAGCAAAGCTACACAGTAAAATTTGTTAACAATCTTCTAATTACTGGTACAAACAGAAGTGTGTACCCATACCACTGAGTACAGCTCAAACAAAGCATTTCCGAAGCCCAAACAACATCGTAATCGTAGATTTTTTGTGCTTTATTTTTTTATAAAACAAAGAAGATTTCTGTTTTGGGAGGCCTGAAAGCACATCTCAAAGGAGAACTTTGTTTATTATTTTTTGTTATTAACCATTATAAGAATGGGGATCTGAATTGCTAAACTTTAAAAGGGTAACATTTTTTATTGTTATTTGGTATCCATATACCGAACAGTTTTGATTCTGTGCTGAATATTCAAATCTGCCTGTAATCCTTCGAGTGGGACTCTTCCAAAGGTGAATAAATTAAAAGATTGTTGTGAAATTTTTGCCCTTCAAGTTAAGATAATCTTTTGATGCTTACCAGTTTTTCTACCTATATTGCCTCTTTCATTCTCTTGTTATCGCTCAGTTTTTAATAAGTACTGACATAAGGTTAACAGATTGATATTATTCTGCATTTGTATTAGTTTTTCCTCAGAAGAGAACCATTCTTACCTTTTCTTTCTGAAGTATGAGTTCCTTCTCATAGGATAAAACAATTTGCGTAACGTTCCGCTCTTTCTATATTTAAGTGGTCATTGCGGCACAATTAAAATTAGGAAGTCAGATTGCTAAGGACTCAATATAAAAGAGCTCTTTAGATTACGGTCGTATTACAGTACTTCGATAAAGAAAAAATTAACTGTAATAAGATTTAATTGAGTCAAAATTTAACCCAAATTAGGGTTACTGTAGAGTTTATAAATTCCACTACAGTAACGTAAATCTTTTTTGCTAACGATAAATAAATCTTAACTATTAATTTATATACTATTTGTTGCAAAACTGTGAATGGCAGAAAAGAGAGGAAGTTTGCTTAGCACACATATGAATTTGCTGTTAATATAAATGATTTTGAACAAAAAAAAAGTAATTTCAAATTTATGAGAAGTGCAACCACAAAAAAAAAAAAAATCTTTCTTCATATCTGCAGAATGGCATCTGTTCAAGGTGAAACGATACGTGGAGAAATTAGGACTGAAGGAAGTCTTGAGCTGGAAGCAAGGTATCAAGGAAGCTTTAGGTTGGTACTGTAGGTTTCAAGGACTGGTTGATCCTACAGTAGAGAGAGTAGTAGAGAGGTCTCATAGGACACTATAGGAAAGAAGCTGACGAGGGCGACTCTTCAAATTTTAGAATCTTGTCTACAGTCACGACAATATAAGAGAAACAATAAATCGGCAAAAAAAAGTAGAATTTCTATTTTTGGTGCAGAAAAAAATTTTTCATACTTAAATCTCTATATTCTGTTCACTCTGCTCCAAAATTGTACGCATCACATGTAGCAAGTTTTATTTCTTATGGTTATGACCAACTACACGAATAAATGCTATGACACTAATTGCTTCAGAAAAGGTTGCATTAGGTGGTGTATTTGCAGATATACCTTACAAAAGCAAAACAATTTTTTATCACATATGCACAAGTAAAAATGTTCAAATTTTTTGTTAAACTGATTCGTTCGCCTATTAGCAAAACAAAATTTGGTTGATTTCTTGACCAAAAAAAATTTTTTCTGTTTTATTTTTTCCTCGTCTCTCTTCCTCTCTTTAACGCTAATAACAGTGGTCAACCTTAGAATTTTTGGTTTTGATAATAGAATAAAGTGAAGAAAGGAAAAAGTTAGGATGAAACCAGAAGCTGTGATAACATATAAGGTGACTGCAGTTTTTATAATTTTACCTCTAACATCGGTTCGTATGTTTAATAGTGAAGCTATAGAGGAGGAATTACTGGCACAAATTTATAGTTATTTCATTGCAGATGACACATCAACAAAAGCATTATTCATGTACTGTTTACAGTCGAGAAGAAAGAAGTTGTTTAAATTTTTTTGGTTTAGGTGTACAAAAAGTTTTCTGTACTTCAAATGTATTATATATAATACTTCTTTATTGGTAATTTATTGCATAAGCGTCGTGGCATATCTTTAAACTGTACTGCACTGTCGTTATCACAGAATCGTTTTGAAAAGAAAAAAAAGTTTATAAATTTTAAACAAAAAAAAGTTTAATAATTTCAATGCTATTAAAATAACTTTTTATCAGCTAAATTTAATGCTTTGACTCATAAAGCTGTTAACAGTTATCAGTTTTTTGTTTTGCATACATCAGCATTTGTTCGTTAAAACAGCTGAATAGATCAAAGAACTAACGTTTTACTACTTAATTTCTTCTCCTACAAATTAACTTTTTTCATAACCATTAATTTGTATTCTATACGTTAGATTGAAAAAAAAAAGCTTTTGCTTGAAAAAATTATTGAAAGTGCAGATTAAAAAGGTATATAAAAAAACTGCTTTATCGCCGTTCATCTGAAGCGCTTTATGCAGAATATATTTCTCTCTTTAAAATTTCCTTATAGCAACCCTATATTTTAAATTGGTTACAAAAGCATCTATGTTTTTCTGGTTAAGGAAGATGTGGAAGATCCGACAGATATATTCGATAATTTGTCAGTAAAGAATTAAAAAAGCTTTTCTAAATAAAAGTATTTACATAGTTTCTTCAATTGTTCTATTATTTATAAATTTAAAGTTATTTGTTTAAGTATTATTAAGCGTTTAACTGCTTATTCTGTACTTAGAATAGTATGTCAACCAAAGTTTTTGGTAAATCAAGCTATTATTGAGTTAACATTTCTATTATAACTGCCTAACATTACTGCATTTTTTCATTTGAACAATCAGAATGTGATAAGAGTTCTACAGTTGCTAACAGAATAGAAAAACTATAGAACAAGGCTGTATAAGGCAAAAAAGTTCTTATAAAAACAACACTACTACACAGTCTAGCAAAAATATTTTTAACCACAAACTGACAGATAGTTGAATTATAAATTACTGCAGTAATATATACAAGCTATTTTTCGTTTGATATAAAACAGCAAACAGAAATACGGTTTACATCTCAGAAAAACAGCCAAATAAATATGGGTTACTGTGCATCATTAAAAAGAATTGATTAGAACAAGATGAATTAGTGATTACAGATGGTTGCGCTAAATTTACAAGCAACTGTTTCTGCAGTAGAAGAGATGTATCAGTTAGCGAAACAGCTTCACAACCTGTTTTTTGTTTTCGATTAGAAACAGAATAATCAATAGGAAAATCGAAATCTGATGACAGCGTAGTTGTGTTGGTACAAGTTGTCGGTGATATAGTTTCTTGTGTACTGCTTATAGAAGTAGTTGGTGATAGACCAAAAAGTTCATCTGTAAATCCCTTTCGACCCCATTGAGCAAATAATGAGCCTCTGTCTTCTAGGAATTCCAGTGGCCGATCCTCCTTTTCTTGAACTAAAAATGTGACTTCTGTTGAGCTGTTTGATGGTACATCCCAACTGAATGGAACAATGACACTGACACGGCCGCTATTCGGATTGGTAGAAATAGCAGATTCTTTATTTGGAGTACCTAGAAATTAAAAAACTACTAAAATTAAGCAGGTGTTTATTCTTTTTTATTCGAAAAAAGTGGTTGTAAAAGAGTTGTCAGTCATAGTAAATTTGAATAATATTGTTAAGATTAACAACTTACTGATTTTTAAACTACTTTCGGCTGCCATTTCTTGCGTTACTGGAACCTTTTTCGGTCTGCCTCGTGGTCTTTTTTCTTTGTTGTTAGCTCTTGGTTCTAAACTAATACTTTTTTGTTGGGTTACTGTTAACAAATAAAGTTTTAAGCTGCCGGTTATTAATTTATAATTTATCTGTGCAAATATAGGAGAACGTTTTAAAATTTTTGTGCTTACTAAAATCTTAAAGACCAACTTCTTGGCTGACGTATTCCATCTGCTGTAACTTTCACAGCATTTGAAACTTTAACAATTATTGCAGGTTCAGTATGAATAGTTATGGTCAGATCAAATTTTGTTCCTGTAAACAACGTTATAAAATAAAATATCCATAAATAGTTGTTTTGTTTAAGAAAAAAGAAACAAATACTTTCTTTAATTTATTCTTTTTTTTGTTTGTTATATGAATAAATAATAAAAAGTCAATGTTTTTGTCTTTACCTCTTCCACTTTTTCCCAAAAATTTTAGTTTTGAAAATTCAGCAATCTGGTTGATCATAACACTTTCATAGTTTTGGAGTTTAGCAGATGGATTATGCAAGCTGGATGCTGTTAGGGTAACTTTTGTTCTGTTTGGCACAACATTTGGTACTAAGGCAAATAGTTTAAACGGTACTTTTACAGCAATTTTGACCCGAATATGACATGGCAGATCAGTGCATAGAAATCTTTCATCACTGGTTGACCGGAAGCCACATTTTGATACCAGTTTACCATATTTTTGTGCCACAAATAAACCTGACAATTCAATTTCTTGACTTAAATTGGTTAAACCATCATAAGCGGTTACTTCAACTCGATCAGACATTGTTCAGGCTAGGTCAGTAGTTTTTTTTCATACCAAACTGTACACCTGAATGATGAGAAATATTATAATACCAATACAGTAACAGTTACTATAAAAGCCAGTTGAATTTATAACGGTCATTAAACTGTGATACTGAATGACATTATAGCAGTGACCTTGTTGAAGAAAAAAAAATTTTAAAATTAATTGGATTATAGTAAGCATAAAATAGCAGATTAGCACAGAATATACTGCAGCATTGTTTTTATAAAATATTTAATGTCAAGAAATAAGAATAAGAAAAGTTTTCATTGAAATGTGACATTGAATGCAAAATCAAACAGCAGCAAATTGTATGTAATTAAGTGTACAGTCTAAAACTGTTTAACTGTTCAATTGACTGCTACTTGTAAATTTCAATTTTTTATTAATTTTTTTTTTTTTGTTTTTATATATCAAAAAGAAAAGAAAAAATTGCTGCACATTTATTGTAAAAACTGAAATAAGAAACTACCTGTGAGTACAGTGAATTTATTTAACAAACACACTGTATCAATGGTCATTTATATCGTACAAAAAGTAAAAATTTGAAGAAAAAAAAAATTTTTTTTTATTTTAAAATTAAAACAAAAAGCTTAAAACAACCAAAAAAAAGGTTAGTCTGAAAATAACTAACAGTCTTTTCAGCTAATTTAGTGAAAAAATTTTTACTTTTATTATTTTTTTTAATTTTTTTCTTATTTAAACTTTGACGTTTATAACTCTGCAAAACTGATAGTCCTTTGATGGCAAAGACGATAAATGGAATGCGCCAAAAATGAAATACTAATTTTTCAATCTTTTCTGTTATAAGAAAATCTATTAAAATACTGTTTAAAAATTTCTTAGAATTTAATGTGAAAAAAAAAAAAACAAAAGAACAAAATAAAGCTATCATAAATTTTTTTTTGTTTAAAAATTTTTTTGAATACAACGTAAGCGTAAACAGTTTGATAAAAAATCTCAAATCAAACAGGTGAACTTTCTGGTTTAATAGTTTAATTTACAGTTGATAATTTTGCTATTTTTTAATTTTTTTGTAATTTTTATTGCTTCTATGACGAATAAAAAATGGGAAAAACAAGTGAAAAATTTATTCTTTTAATTTAAATCTTAAAAGTGAAAGAAAACAATGCTTATATTTATTGTTGCAATTTTCTTTTCTATTTATTTATTCGTCTGACGTGTCGTATTTTCATTGCTGTCGTAAAAAAAAAAATATATATATATATATTGAAAGATTAGGAATTGAGTAAAGATTATTCTGAAAAAATGTATAATTAAAAAACAAAAAAAAAAAGTTGTAATTACAGAATACAAAATTTAAAACGATGGAAACACTATGCTTTTTTGTAATTTGTTTGGTTCATTTCCTTTCCTTTCCTTTTTAGTTTATTTTTATCGACATTTACCATTATTTTACTATATGCTTCATTCTGTTTTTTTTTGTTTTCTCCAAAAATTTATCAGAAAAAATCACTAATTTTTAGGCTATTAAACTTGAGCAGAATATACCTTAAAAAATGTTATGATAATGTAAAATAAAAGAAACAAAAGGAAAGAACAATGACCAGAAACCAGGAAGAAATTATGCTGATTGAGTAAACAGACCTTCTGATGGTCACACAGTAAGTGTATACTGAAAATGATCGTATCGGTTATCAACATCTTAGTGTTTGTTGCACTACAGAGGCTTAAGAACTGCAAAAAGTGTTAAGATTCAATCATATTTATACTAAAAT